GTGACATGGAGGAGATTGTGTGTGTGTCTGCTTCACCTGACCTGACGCGTAATGCACCCAAACCATCTTCTCAGTGTATGTGCAATCCAATCCATCTTCACTTTCTCCCCCTGCATATTTGTTGGGTGATAGGTTGTTGCTTCGTTGGTTCATTGTCAGCCAGAGTGAGTTCCCTGTTGCTTATTCTTTCCGACCATGTGATCTGATCTGATGTGATCTGATGATCATTATCGAGTGAGCGTGGTCGACAGCTGTTGATGTATGATGTCTGCAGTTTGTTGGGAATGTTTTTGGTAACGCGCCAAGTCTCTGAAGCATCACATGTGGGCATTGACTTAGTTGACAGGATTAGTGTTGAAAATGCGCATGTTGTTCCACATGCTGAGTGAAGTGAAGCGAAGTGGGGTGGAGTGGAGTGGAGTAGATCTGCACACTGATTTCAGGTAGGTGAAGTGAAGACTGTCTTGCTGTGTTTCCAATGATGGCTTTGACGTGGTCATGTGTGCGTGTGCCTGTGCTGCTGTCTGTAGTTGAAAGGATGCTGCCTTGGGAGGTAGGTAGGTAAGTAGGTGAAAGTGACAACTTCGTTGAGATTTCTGCTGTTGATAGTGATTGGTGCTTGTTGTTATTGTTGTTGTTCGGGTATCTTCATCACCTCTGTTTTCTCTACGTTCACGTGAAGGATGTGTCGTGTTGGCTGTCTCGCCTGTTCTGTCAACTTGTTGGTTTTCGTCTGTGGATGTTCGAGTTTGTGGAACATGATATTCGACACTAATCATCATCGTTGGTGAAGTCCAAATCGTGTAGAGTCTTTTCATCGATCAGACAGCTAGCCTATACCCATTCTCTCGCTGTCCATTGTTTGTTTCACGACCCAGTTCAGTCGACTACAATCAGGAAGATGATCAGTGATAGTGGGCAATTTTGTCTTATTCATATCTTCACTTCAAAGGCATCTTTGAGCTTTCGATTGTGAATCACTTAGGGTGTAGGATTTCCTTACATATGTATAATCTATGGCACCGACTATCGAAATATCTGACTATCTACTGCTAGTCATTGTTGTCTACGATCCATTCCGCTTTGTTATGCAGCTGTGAGTGATAGTCGTCAAATTCTACATTCTCACGAGTCTACAATGTATCTCTTTAACATGTTGAAAGTGATTTGCATCATAGATTGTCATTAGTCAGATGTGGATACAGGTGTTTCGTTCTTTTGAAATTCTAATGGAGATTTCATGTATATTGCTGGACAAGACATTGAGCCTACGACTAACAGATCTCATAGTGATCTCTGTTTTCTTATCCAACAGGTCATTGCCTTACACACGCATCTTTGACCTTGAAAGTTGCGATTTTTTTTGTGAACAGAATTTTGATATATATTTTCAACTTCATTTTTCCCTCTATTTTCAATTTCTTTCTTTGTAATAGAAATTGGAATGTTACGTGATTCTGCAATAGCTGAAAATAGTATTGCTCAAGTGTCTACAACTGGTGTAGTTGAATCGACTACACGTATTGCTCGACGTGCAAATCGTATCCTTCAAGTGATTACACGTGAAGCTGATAACAGTGAGGATACATTGTATGTTGATCAGATGAATGATGCTGTCAAAGCGTTAAGATCAAGTAAGTTTTGTTTGTATGTGTATGTGTGTGTGTGTCTATGTGTGCTCGACCGATAGCTGCTACCTTGACGTGGTGGTCAGGCTTGCATATCACAATGATCCAACGATCTATGCTGGTGGAACGCTTGTTTCCTCGAGGTCTTACCATACCAGAAAGGTCTGTTGCTTAGTGGTTAGACGAAAAGCAGTTACCGTTACCGTTATAGTGTAAATTGCTACACTATGATGGGGGTCTGAGGGCGAAGTCGTACTGCTGTTAGCTGGATGGGGTGTGACAACAGTAAGGTGTTTCCCTTGGATGACCAGCAGTGCCATGCTAATGATGCCTTCTCAGTGGAAGGGGGGGGCGCAGATGTAAACACACATGATCCTCATCTTAACAACGCTATACCGAATCTCACCATTTTGTCACTCCTGTTTCTTTTCCTATCGTACTTTATATTTCTTTTGACTGCATTCACTTATCTTCATCCTTCACCTCACTACCTTTCTACCTGATAAACTGACGTGAGGTGTGGCAACTTGGACCGTTACGCAGTAATGCCTAGTCCTATGTTGATAATGATGTGTGTGTGCGCCCGCTCTGTTTTTAGAAATCGCTGTATTACTGAATAAAAAGACAATCCAATGTACTAGACGACTATATGTGAAGGCTGTTAAAAACGAAGTATTTAAAGCGGGAATCGAACTTAGACAAAAGAAAAAAGCATGCAACATCCTACAAGAGTGAATCACTTCCAATTACCATACTTCACAATCATGGACAAAGAAGACTATAGCAAGAAAACAGAAGGTTTACTCAAAGAGGAAAATGTATATCAACCACCTGAAACTAACCTAATCCAAAAGTTCGACAACCACATTAATTACAAAACAAGTCCAATAGTGTATGAAATCGAATAAACCTGTCCTTCCTCAATTCTACAACAGACCGAAACTACATAAACAAGATATCCGTCTGCAACCAATAGTCTCACTTCCGAGGACTTCAACGTGCAATGTATCAAGAGAACTTTTGAGAAAACTGAAACACCTTGTTCAGTGATGTGGAAATTCCATTAAGTTATCAACGGAATTCTTAGAAAACATCAACAGCATTAACATAACAAATGACGAATTAATGATATCCTTCGATATCATAGCCTTATATAATCCATCGAACCCCAATTGATCAAGGAAACTATATCTCCCTCCTGCTCAATGAAGACAAAAACCCTTCAAAACGCACAAAACTTAAATGTACAAATGTGATGGAACTCATCGACTTCTGTCTGACAACATACTTCCAATTCAACGCCAAGATATACAAACACAGACGAAAGGAACTGCAATGGGATCACCGATATCCGGATTAATTGCAGAAGCAGTTTTTTCAATGATATCAAAACTGTAATGGAGAAGGAGTCGAACACAGTCAACTACCATTTCTCCATGTCCTTGTCAGTAAGATAAATGCTGGAAAACTGAAAACCCAACTGTAAAGGAAGCCAACATACACTGATCAAATCCTCAACTAGATAGACTAGCAACAACCCAATAAACCATAAAATTACTTGCTTGCAGACTCTATTCATCAAGTGAGTGAGAATACACTAGACAGTAGAACAACTTCACGGAGAAACCAAGAAAACTACTTGATGTCTATTCCAATGAACAAATACTACCTGCGAAACTTTATAACAAGATGCCTTCCGCGTTACATCACCAACTACAAAGGGATTATCCTACAGAATATATCAGAGATGAAGACAAGATTACTGAGACCACTTGGAGAAATTGGTGTGGTGCCTGATAAACTAACAAATTCCCTCCAAACACTATTATGCAGACCAAATGGGAAGCAAAAACCACAGTAGACAAACCACTAGATATCATCTACAAAATTGAGTGGAATAATAACTATAGTCTAGTCAACACTAGATTGAACAAAGTGTTCACTTTTTCGCCCTCCTTCATACGAGAACATCAATTGGATAGTAATCATGACGACATTTCATCACTGATCACTCAATCCATATGGATAACAATTATGGAGATGAATTGAATGTTGACAATGTGGAAATGTTGAATGGAGAGAGGAAAGACAAAGAATATCATCTGAGAATTCCTAGAATCATGAAATTCAGATTAGTCAGCAATCAATCGATGTGTGCCACATAGACCCGATCTATCAAGCAATGAGAAAAATGATAAACGACAGAAAGGTGAGGAGAGGAGAGGAGAGGAATAGCGAACGGGAAAATCTATACAGTTGGTGAAGGCAAGCTAGTGAATAGGTGACAGAGAGATATTGACAGCTAGCCCACCTCATACTGAAGTTAGTGCTGATGATCATGTCGCCATGATTAAACGATCCACCTCCTCAAAGGGCACAATACAGTCAAGGTACCTCATAGCAGTATGCAAAGAACAACTAGACAGAAAAGACATGATGATAAAGTAGATGAAGGTATGAGAATGTCAAAGCTTTCGAAGACGTCTTCATTTGACCATCTTTCAGCTTTACGCTTCATATTGTTTTCACTTAAACCTCACTGATCGAATCTTAACTAGTTTATCATTGTTTTACACTTTTCTGTTCAATTAGACTATTTTTTACATGTATAACTATTTACTGTTTTTTTTGGTGATAGAACGTTAAACATTTCTGTCCAATCGTTTTATATGTTTGATAAAATGGTTCGTTTATCATTCGATATTCAATTATCAAGAGATATCCTTGACAGACTGCATCATTAATTGTTCAAGGGCTCATCCCCTTTTTCCTTCTTTGAAAAGTCGGATAGTTTAAATGATAATCAAAGGAAATTACTATACAGTGAGCGTTTTATCAAATCTATCCAACCGAAAAACTTTCAAGTAGCTTTTCATCATGGACTGACATTAGTTGGAGACCTGGAGAATAGCTGTTTCGTTTCATTATGGGACTTTTCGACAGTGCGTATCCTTAGCCAAGCCCCCTCCTAAAGACTTTCACCTTGAGACATGGGTTATAATACTGTTTGGAATCCATTTAAGTCTGTTTATTAGAAATGTCACTCAGTGAAGAAGCGGTAGAATTTACTGGATAACATTTCCAACACAATTTATTGTCCCTATTCTTTTCTTCACTTGTTAACTCATGACTTAAAGCACAGATTGGATGACATACGTTTAGATGACGATAGAAAAGGTGTTTAGTTTTGACATAACTAGCCGTTACACGAATTCACCGTTCGACACAGTTCTAGAGGTAGTTAGAAATGGGCTTCAGGATGACAAAGAACTTACGCATCAAACTAAGGTGCGCCGATCCACGAAATCATGCTAGGAGTACTATTGCGCTTGATGTCTACAGTTTTTTGAAGGGGTTGCCATCATATCACCAATATCCCCTACCGTCGCAGACATATTTATGGATAATTGGGAATGTATATCCTTTCAAACATTTAGTCCTACTTCAAAGATGTGGTTCCACACTATGTACATGATACGTTTAAAGTACTGAAATCGGAACATATCAATAGGTTCTTGGTACAATATAAATTCAGTAGTAAATGCAATCCAATTTACCTGTGACTTTGAAAGTGATGAAGTTGAGCTAGCAAGTGTTGGATTGTAAGATTAAACGAAAACAAGATGGAAACTTAGAGACCAATGTCGTCTATAAGAAACCTACCCAATCGAATCACTACTCAGACTTCAAATCATCTCACTCTATCTCAGTTAAAGTAAACTTAGTTGAATGCCTTAGGGATGATAGGGCAATACAGCTAACAAGTAGGCCAGAAAATCTATGACAACAAACTAAACGCATCAAGAATACTTTGAGTGTGAATAATTACTCACCTGAATCCATAGGAAATCGAAGGGAGAATATGAGTAGTAGTACCAATACTACTATGAGTAATACATGGTAATAGGGTGGAGAGAGAATTCGAAGCCTCTGTGGGTGGTGTTGTTACCACACGAAGAGGGGATCTCGGAAGTATTACGACAATCTATCAATAAGTCTAGTAGGGATTGAAGTGGCTGGTATTTAAACTAACAAACTCGCTTAGAAACAAGTTTTGTAGGTGTAAAGATCTTTCCGATTGAATTCGATGAGGTCAAATATATGAGACAGATTAATCGACCAGGGTCAGTTTGAATAACAGAATACATAAAGCTTGTCTAAAACAAGACTGGTAGACTTTAATAAGATAAGCAATTTATAGGGAAGGTTGGCTATGCCTATGCTTACAATCGCACATAATCATGAAACTTAGGTTCACAACGTCATCAATCGACTTACCTATCATGCGTAGTACCGTTCATCTTACTTCAACTTTGCTCACGCTGTGATTTCACCAAACATGAGTAACGCTGCAAAGACATGTTTAATCAAACACCTGTAACCGCTTCATGTTGTCTACTTTTAGCGATCATTTCTCGTTAGCGTAAAACAAGGCAGAATGAACTGCAGTGCAGTAAACTCATCCCTTGATAGATAGTCAGATGTCTCACCAATCGCTATCACAAATGATACAAGTTGGCAAATGCTAAGCTGGCTTACTTTATTCAAGCTGATGCAACTCCTTAAGCTAATGAAGTTATCAATACATTCCACCACTTCTCTCCCTATCATTATATCGAGTGATCGGCATCCAGTCGTGGAGTACCATCTTACATTTTACAAGTGCAAAACGCATACCGAACATAGACAAACTGTTGGTAGATGGGCTACTATATATGTATCCCTCGATATACTGCTAGATACTCATGATTTATTCATCTTGATGACTATCAGTGGGATTCAGGACGTTCGTTCCGTCATATTTCAGACTTGTTAACTGGATGGAAGTTGCTGTTGTGCCCAAAAGGTTAAGGACTTGATTCTTTCACTTTAGGGGCGAATCTCAGTGAGGTCAATACCACTCACAGAGTTGGTGGTGTATCCGGTTGATGAATCTCGAATGGAGCGAAACATATGTCTCAGATTTCGCTCTGCTAGCCACAAAGCAAACAAAAAGCAAAGTGAAA